GCTTGGGTTTTGGATTTTTTTGTTAAGCAAAAAAAGTTACTCCTTGGCAATGGGAAAAGGGGGATTCTTTTTTGGTATGGGGTCAGTGAGGTTGACAAGCACAGGTTGTGGCTGATATGTGATGTCTCAGTGTAGCTTTGGAGTGCTTCCTTCTGCTTGGTGGGATTTCTCAACTACATCATCCAGCACACAGGAAAATCAAAATAGCATTAGTCTCTTAAAAAGGACTTGTTTACTAACAAGTGATAGGTCACCTGGGAGCCCAAAGGGTGCTATGGCAGAGAGTGTAGTAAGACAAAGATGCTTCTTAGGAGGACTAGCTAACCAAACCAGTGCCAGAAAGCTGAATTTCAGTCCCTCAAACCCTGGCAGATCTACTTGTAATTAGACACTAACTACCCCTTAGGTCCTGAGGATGCTTTCAGACCTAACTAATCTGGTTACTGTGCAATTAGTAGGCCTTATTTTGGCATATGACCACCCGATTTCTGAGATGAACTGAACTCCTTTGATATTAAAATATTATGGAGAGATTATAGATAGTACAAGGCAAGGTCAATCTAGTTCAGCATCCTGACTCTGATGGTGAGCAGTAGTACATGTCAGGGAAAGAGAAGCACAATGCTATTTCTCAAAAACAAACTTCCGGCCTCCTGGCAGACAGATCCTAAGATAGACCCACCTATGGAGATAAATAAATAGGGGCTAAGAAATCATCAGACCTGCCCATTAGTCATGCAACCTCACTTGGTACAAATCAGCATTTTAAAAATGCCTGAAAATTACTCATTTGGTCTAGTAATGATTAATGAGTATTTCATCAACAATGATGAAAAGGGAGAAAGAAAAAGACTTGCTCCACACGTTGCCTGCTATCATAAAAGGGAGCAGAGTATTTCAATAATGATATTCTCTTTTAAAGTAATGGTGTGTTGAATGTGGAAATCTGAAGGCAATATTAATTGAGGGTATGGTAGATGGATTAAGGACATGCAGAAGAGACGAGGAACATACTGTGATGGTCAGATGTAGGGTAAAGCACAACAAGAGGAGCCAGAACAGGACAGACAAGGCTCTAAGAGAGTAGAACAGGGAAACACAAATGCCTGGGCTCTCCTGCCACGCTGAAGATGTGTGGAAAGGTTGAAAGCCCAGGTGGGATTGGACTCTTGTGGTTGTTCAGTGCCCTCCTTAAAGCTTGCTCTTCTTTATGTTACCTCTTTGTCAACTGCTCTTGGTAAACAGACAGAGGAGAGAGATTTGGAAGCACTAAGGGTGAATAATGGAAAGAAAGTTATAGGTGAGTAGAGCAACTAATTGAAGTCTAAAGGAGAACAAACAAAAATTAGGGAAACCAGAGTAACTGATCTGTTGAAGAGCCAAGTCCCAGAGGATCTGGAAATTACTTTTGAGAGGAAAGACTGGTTTGGAGAGGAAAACAGTTTAGATTAGGAAGTAACACAGGTAGGAGAAAAATGCTATATGATTGATAAAAAGTGCACAGGGTTGTATCTTTTATATATGGAGGCATGTCACTTTTCATTTAAATGGAAAGAAAGTTTATGTTTCAATATATTTTGAGACCAAAAAAAGCAATTTTAATAGAGAAGTATTGTGGTTACTAGCAATCATGTTTTGTTTTTCATATGGCCATCACTATACAAGTAGCAGCTTTGCACATTAAAGCTTAAAGTGCTTTTCTTGAGTGCTATCCTGTTTCAGGAGGTTGCATTACCAAACACTCATTTTTGATATGGCTGGCATCTATCTACCTGCATGTTCTGTGAAAGGCAGAGCTGAAGGATTCACTCAGTATCTGAACTAAGAGAGGGTATGGCAATGAGGAGAGCATACATCCTTAGCCCATTTTTCTCCTTCAAAGTATGAATAATGGAAAGGCAAACTCTTGAAACACAGGAATCAAAGAGGACAGGGGAGTATTTGGAGATATTTTTCCCAGGGACAGATGTGTAATAAATATGTATTTAACTTACATATAGAAAAAGCTTTTTTTTTTTTTTTTTTTAACAGTGAGAGGCAAACATTAAAGTTACACATCTGTTTCAGTTATGTGTGTTTTATTTACTTAGCTTTATGATTATTTACAACTATTTATTTATTACTTACAACTGAATCACCTGACATCTGAAAATCAACTGGGATACCTCACTTCTGTAATAACAGGTAACATAACTGTAGTCTGAAAAGTCTTGCTACACCTGTTTGGTAGTGTAATTAAGTGAGTGGTTAGATAGTAAGCATTACCCTTATTGTGATGGTATGAGTTAATCTCCTTTAAAAATAATAAGTTTATCCTTCTAAGTGGTTTAATAAATAGACAGATGTAGTAACTTGTAAAAAATGCATCAAGTTAATAGTGCTAAATTTGAAAGCGGGGAGGGGAAATTATTTTTACTTTCTCTACTTGTGCCTTTATATACAGGCTTGGATGCTTTAGGGTAAGGAATCTCTCTATGTGCCCCAAAGCTGTTAGCTGTTTTGTTTCTCCATGGTAACAGGAGTATAAAGCAGTACGAGCATGTTACTGAAGTAGGGAGACATGACATTGTTTAGGAATGGGACTACATGTAATGACTGCAGCTCTCAGGTAATTCTGAATGAGGATATTTTCTGGTACAGAGGCACTGTCAATATGTGCAAATGTGCTCATTTAAGGCAAGCCTTAGGGATACATAGCTGGCCTAAAAGAATCTATCAATCCATAAAGTTTGCAGTGATGGGAGGCATTATCAGACATCGGGTTGATTAAACTCTTCCAGAAAGATGACTCAACATGTGAAAAGCCCTGTGCAAGATCAGGGTCTAAACATAGGGTTCTGGCTGGGGTTCAGATAATACAACTCATAAGGAGTTATTGATGTATTTTCTGTTTAAATGACATCCAAATTAATGCAGAATTATCTGTAAGTTTCAGTAAGTAACCTTGCAATATTAACTGGTTTAATTTTGTTGTCACTTTGGCAGAAGTATACATTAGGACTCAGCAGACTAGCTAAGATTGTTCTTTTATGAAGAAATGGACAAAGGCAATGATTTAGAGTGGTACAGCTTAATCACAGACTGATCTCTCCTTTGCATTGATGTACTCTTAGTCTTTTCTTCTGCTGTTGAGGTGACTCGGGCTTACTGGACTGAAATAAAATATACTAACTTGACCTTAAAGTAAGGGAAAGGTTCTGGCAACTTTTTTCTCATCTGTACATATTGCATCTCTTCCTGAATCTCTTCCAACAAGCTGTTGTGTAGTGCTGTGTTCAGCTAACCTTGCTGACCGAGTTAAGTTGTCTCCAAGTAGCTATAGGCTGACTAAGGACAGAGCAATGTTGAGTGAACGTGTGTGAAAGAGCCCTTTCCTTGCACACTTAAAATAGGATGACTTCCTTGTCTCTCTCCCTTCTTCTGGGGCAGGTAAACGTAATTTGTTCTGGTTCAGGAGGCCACACAATCTGTACCAACACAAGACAACTTCGTGGCAGGAAACACATTCCCTTTTGTTGCTCTTCATACTGATCCTCTGGTGATTTTGAAATGAACTGGGTCTATGCCTTTATTAATAGTCAGCTCTTTATTAAAAAGTCAGCTCGGCAGGGCGCTCAAAAAGGAGCACGCCCCCGCTGATGTAGCTTCTCCGACAGCTGAAGGGTGAGCAGGCGTGCAGAGACTGTCCCTGGAGTCTCCGTGTCACGCTGGCTGCTGGAGGAGAAGAGGTGTCCAATCTGTCTCAGTAGACTGTCCTCTCTCCTTTCCTCCCGGCACACTGGTAGCCGCAGGGTGGGGGGGATGTGCAGAGTGCAGAGCTTGCTGCCGAAATCTAGCAGCAATTATCCCCCTCATTCCTTCCTGGTAACATCAGGAAACGTGGGTGACTCTGCTCCTGCTTCCCACAGCCCAGTCCAGTCTGGTTCTCTAGGTTATGGTGACAGGTCAAACACAGACTAGGGATGGGGTTCCCTTTTCCCCAACGAGCACACCCATCCAGCCCCCTCCACTGTGCCCATCTTTTCCATTTAGGGGTGTTTTTCATCCCTAAAACCCCCTCCCATGATTCCACTGGATTATTTTGCATCCCAGTCCTAGAATGGTAGTGAGGGTGGGGGGAGGTAGGTGATTCCCAGGAGCAATTAGCTAATTAACATTTCAATATCAGTACTTAGCCCAAGCCAAGTGTCCCAGCCAGGCTGTTTTGTTCATAACAATTTGACTTGTATTCCTTTTCCTGCAATTGAAAATTAGCTTTTTATCTGGGTTCCCTAAGGAAGCCGACTTGTAGATCCGTGCTGCTATTCTGCTTGTATGAAATCCTCTCCACTCTTTGTTTTCATGTTACTTTTGACCGAATTGGAAAAATCCAAAATCCAATGACTGTACAACGTGAGTGGCTGTGGAGAGCCCCATATGAACGCTGTGCAGAGGGGGAGGCAGGGGGAAGAAAACAGGAAAACTGCGCGGTTTTGGTGAGCGATTACCCTGTGCCGAGCTCCAGATTAGGAGTTCATGCCTTTGTTACCGCCGGCTCCGGTCACGGCTCAGCCCCGCGCCTGCCTCCCGGCGCTGCGGGCACGGGGTAGCCCCGCTCCTGCCCTCATGTAACTGCTGTAGCAGGGCAGTGCCCCTTTTTAAAGCCTGTAAGCAATAAATCGTGCGGGACTAGGCCCGATTCGGGCGCAGGGGAGCCAGGGGAATCGGGACAGGGCGCTGCGAGGCTGTGGCTGGAAAGCGGGCCCTCGTTGGGGGCATTTCGGTCGGGCCGTGGCCTCCCGCGGGCGGGAGCCGGCACGGGGGGGGTTCTCAGCCCGGAGCGGGTTCATCGTGCCGGAGCGGTGTTTCAGCTGATCCGCCTCCGCCAAGGGACCCGCCGGGACAAGGACGGCGGGACCCGCTGCGCTCGGGCGGTATTTACGGTAATGCGGTCGTTACGGTAGCGCGGGAGGGCCTACGTGCGCGGGGGCGGGGCGGCGCGCGCGCGGCGCCGGTGCGTGCGCGGCCCCGTGAGGCGCGTCTCCCTCGCGAGCTCGCGGTGAAAGGATTTGGCGCCAGGCGGGTCCGGCTCCGCAGCTCCCGCAGCCGCACGAACCCCCTGCGCCTCCCGCCCGCACCCACCGCCCGCCGGGGCACCGACACACCGCAGGCAGAGCCAGAGCCGCCCGTCTGTCCCTGCTCGCCGCCGCCCGCGCGCCGCCCAGGGACCGAGCCGCCAGTGCCGCCGCCATGAGCTGCTCGCCCGTGAACGTAAAAAAGCTGAAGGTGTCGGAGCTGAAAGAGGAGCTGAAAAAGCGTCGCCTCTCCGACAAGGGCCTCAAGGCTGAGCTCATGGAGCGGCTCCAGGCCGCGCTAGACCAGGAGGAAGCCGGCGGGAGCGGCCCCGCCAGCGGCGCGGCCGAGCCCGGCAACGGCAGCGTGGAGGGGGAGGCGGCCGAGAGCGGCGGGGGCGCCGCGCAGCTCCGCCAGGGGGGAGGCCCCGGCCAGGCCGCGGCCTCCGCCATGGAGGACGACGACGAGGAAGGGCTGGAGGCCGCCGATGGCGACGCCATGGAGTTGGGCGAGGAGAACGGCGAGCGGGCAGGGGCCGGGGGCGGCCCCATGGAGGAGGAGGCGGGCGGCGAGGAGGAGGAGGAAGAGGAGGAGGATGATGAGAACGGCGACGACCAGGGTTTCCAAGAGGGGGAGGACGAGTTGGCCGACGAGGAGGAGGCCGCGGCCGGAGACGCCAACGGCCACGGTGACCAGCAGCCGCCGCAGCCCCAGCAGCCGCAGCAGCCCCCTCCGCTCCTCCCGCCGCGCGGCGCCGCTGCCGCCAAGGAGGCTCCCGGCAAGAGCGCTGGGGGCGCCTCGGGGCCCGCCGCTGCCTCTGGCCCGGCGGGCCCCGCCAAGCAGCAGCAGCAGCAGCAGAAGAAAGCGGAAGGCGGCGGCGGAGGCGGCCGCCCCGGGGCGCAGGGCGTCGGGGGTGAGTGAGCGAGGCGGCGGGAAGCGGGGTGGGGGCCATTAATCCCATCCCCCCGCCATGACGGGAGTTGCGGGGGTGGGGGGGGGGCGGTTTCCGGGGCGCGCGCGGGAGGACGTTGGCGGCCCCACGCCTCGTGCTGGCCCGACGGGGGGGGGGGGGGCGGCGGAGGGGCCGCTGGGGCGCGCTGTGCATTGTGCGCCGCGCAGCGCGAGGCGCCTGACGTCACTTCCGGGCTGAGCGCCGCCGCCGCCGCTCGGGATGGCGCTGGGAAGGCCTGGCGGTACAATGGAGGCGGGAGGAGGAGGAGGAGGAATCCCTTCCCTGGGGCTGCCGCCCGCGGCCCGCCGGGAGGAGGCGCAGTCGTGCGGATCGCACGGTGCCCTTGCGAGAGGCTGGCAATGTCCCGCTGCCTGCGTGGTGGGCGGGTGGTGATGGTGTTGCGGGTCTGGAGGCGCGGTGGTTCAGGAGGGGTTTTTTTTTATCATTTTGGTGGGGATTTTTTTGGTGTTTTTTTTTTCTTTCTTTTTTTTTTTCGGGGCGGTTTCAATGGGGCTCATAACATCGAGGTACATACTGGCTGCTGTGTGGTGTATTGGCGACTTCCGTTTGTTAAATAATTTCTGATTGGCGACAAGTTTTGAGTCTCCCGTGAAAATTGAACATACAGGGCTTTACCTTACTAACTTAGTAAAATTCCCTTTTAAGATGTTACTGCTTATCGCTTGCTGCAGCTTGCAAAGTTGAAGCCGTGATATAAATTTGAATCCAAATTAAACTAAAAATTATCAAAATAAATCATTGCTTCTGTTGTAGGAGATGGTAAAACAGAGCAAAAGCCTGGTGAGAAGAAGAGGGGAGTGAAGAGACCACGTGAAGACCATGGCCGGGGATACTTTGAATACATTGAGGAAAATAAGTACAGCAGGTAAATTAAACAGAATTGGTGCTGGGCAGCATTTTGTGATGAGGAGGAATCGAGTACAGAAATGTTATTTTAGCTTAGTCAAAATATGTGTAATTTTATTATGTTTTGTTTGGTTTTGTTTTTTCAGGGCCAAGTCTCCTCAACCACCTGTTGAAGAAGAAGATGAACATTTTGACGACACAGTGGTTTGTCTTGATACTTGTGAGTAAACACGCTTTCCTTAGCCCTGGAAAGATGTGGTGTTAAGGCTTTTAATCTTAATGCCACGCTTTCTGAGACGGGGAGGATAACATTTGTTGATTTTCATTACCAGGTAACTTTAAAAAAAAAAATTAGAAAAATATTGTATTTCCACCCATTTTCAGCAAAGAAAAGAACAGAAGGACCTGAGTATGTTAGCAGTAATAAACTTGGTATTCTTTAAATTCTGTAGCGATAGACAGTTCTGTGAAGAAATCTTAACCGAAACACTAATCTGGTATGGAAGCTTAGGTGAGTAAGTGTAGAGTGCACATAGAACACTCTGGAGACAGCTTGATGAAACAGCTGTCCAGCGCTGTTGCCCAGAAAGCTCAGAGAGTCAGTAGCATAAGTGCTTACAAAACACAGTTTGGGAAGTGAGCTTCCTGCATACATTCCCTTATTTAGATACTGACTAGCGGAGTGTTTCTTCTGTCTTCTAATCAACTTAACAAAATCTCATAATGCTTCCTCAGAAATGAGCCATTCATGTAACGTGTGAATGTGTGGCTTTAGGTGGTGGTTTGTGCAAGTGGGATGGCAGAGAGACTTGGTCAGCAGAGCACAGAAATGGAGGACTATCTGCAAACAGGATTATTTTTGAGGCAGATTATAAAAATCATTATTACTGTAACATATTATTATGGCAGAGTTGACATTTGTATTCTTGAGGGTAAGTATAAGGACTCAGTGCAATATTAGAAAACCTGATCTTGAAGTAATGCTTGAACTCGTTGGATTCTTACAGTGCCATGGAAGGGAAGCTTAACTTTTGGCATTGTCTGGCATATTTGTTAGAAGTTTCAGGTGGTTTTATTCCACAATAAGTGGTTTGAAATTGAAAGGCGGTATTACTTTACAGTCACATAAATTGCTGGATATGCCATCCCTGACATTTTGCTAAGTCTCAAGTTTCTAGCTGCTAACGTGGTGAGTAGCCACTTCTGTGGGAGCTTTGGATTTTTCCAATAGCTGAGTAAATAGCTCCTTTTCATAATTACTGTTTCTAGTAATAATGGTATTTTCTAGTGGAAAATCTTGTTACTGGACAAATGCTGATTTAAAGTGTTGGCAGACTCTTCAGAGATAAGATTCAAACACAGCTGTAAGTCTGAATTGTGTAATGAATTGGCACTCTCTCTTCTGGATAGTGATCCAGACCTGTAAGAGGTTTAGCCACTCTTAAGTGCTTTTTATTGCCTGTGTCTTACAAAGAAGCTGTAACTTCAATCCCGTTCTAAAGGTAGCCTGCAAAGGTGGGTTTCTTCTGTGTGTTTTTATCTGCTTTTCAACAAATAAAAATTAGCAGTACTAATGAGAAGACACTTGGATCACTAATAGTATTTTTGAAATTGGGGATGGCTGTATGTAAACAGAACAAAATCTTGTTCATAAGAGTTGCCAGTAGTACAGGGCAGACCGCATTTTAGTGTACTCTGGCATCATGCAGGTTTTATACCAGAGCAGAATTCCTTGCTGTTTGCTCATTTTGCTCCTTTCTTGTAACCATCAGGTAGGTTTGGAGCTGCTTCTGTGAGTTCCTTGCTCTGGGGAATTCAGATGTTGCGTGCTGCACCTCTTGTTACCATTTGGCATTGTTTTTCTGAAACCTACTGGGAGATTCATTTGCAATTTCATGGTGTGCAGCTCTAAAGATGCTTGTAAAACCGAGGTTCTACTTAGGTTCTTAGAGTGATAGGTGAATTCAGTGTGTAGGTCGTGTTTCTAGGCTGAAGTAGGTTCTCTCTGTGCTTAGCATATCTGCACCTGATTTAACTGCCTTTATTTTAATAGACATAATGTAATTTGACTTGCTGATTGACTGTATTAACCAAAAAATACATTCAGTACTTAAATAAAAACATTTGTGTTCACATTTACTTCTTAGCAGCCCTTAGGTTTGGGCTTGCGCAGTGAGACTGCTTCAGAATCAGGTCTCTAGAGGGTACTGGAGAGCACAATGCAGATGGCTCAGTATTGATAGAAAGAGGTAACTGGCAGAGGGTTAAAACAGATGAGGTGGAAGTTCAGGGTTTTAAAGCAGATGGAAAAAATTGAGGGAATTTGGGTGACAGAAGTGAAGATGTCACCTTGAAAATTACTTGTTAGCTAGCTTCTCCTAAGATTTTGGCTGACCTTGAGTCTGCAGTTCCATCTAGGCATGTTGCTTCTGTGAATGATCCTGGGTACTTGCTGGCAGTTTGTCTTTAAACCTTTGAAAGCTGGCATTACCTTTAATGCATAAAATTGGACACCTGTACTTTATTTTGTAATCGGAATAAACAGAATGGTTTTTATGTTAACAGATAACTGTGACCTGCATTTTAAAATCTCAAGAGACCGGTTTAGTGCTTCCTCTCTGACCATGGAAAGCTTTGCTTTCCTTTGGGCTGGAGGGAGAGCCTCTTATGGAGTTTCTAAGGGCAAAGTCTGCTTTGAGATGAAGGTGAGTTAATGTTTATGAGACTTTTGCATGCTTGAATATAATATTTATACTTGTCACACTTTTTGGGCTTGGTCGGAACTAATTTATGTGAACAGGACTCTTAAACAGCCTTCTCTTACAAGAAGATGGCTCAGTTTGCAAAACTGTTTCCTCTTTTATAAGCACTTTGATTTAACAAACAAACAAAAACCAGAAATTAAAAAAAAAACCACTAAGCACCATATTTGTTCTGAATGCGAGACTTTTGGTCTTACTTTTTAATCACTAATTCTATTTGTCATCTCATGCATCAACACTGAAAGTATTTTTATACTCTGTAGTCAGAAGTTTGCTTGTGCTTTCTGAAGATTACAGAAAGCTTGACTTTTTTTTAAGGAATAGAAACTATCCCAGCACTCCTTTCTGGTTCTGCTTAGTCTTCTGAGTTTGATCTGCTCTAGGCAGGGATTTGGGCTGGACGACCTCTAGAGGTCCCTTTACAATATCATTAAATCTGACATGATGCATTGAATGTGAGTATTTGAAGGGTAGGAATGGCAAAGAGCAATCAGCCTTTTAATAAACTGATTTCTCCAGCTTGTTGATGGAAGAGGAACAAAATCACAAAGCTTGACTCTATTTTTCTTATTCCTGTTATACTTAACAATGTTAAAGGTTTCTTTGCGAATGATGGGCTTGTCTGTTATCTTCCTCTAATGCTTTCAAATGTAACTGTTACCCTGATAATTGGGTAGTGATCCCATTATCCAGACTTTTGCATGGAGTGATTTCTGTGTCTCTTGGAAGGCCAGTGAAGTGAAATTTATGTCACTTTTTATTGTCCTGTTTGCTTTCAAATCAGTTTCAGCTCAGTCACCTGACTGGGATAGTTGAAAAGGTGATAGGATACTGATGGGCTTTTTACTTCCTTTTAGTAAAGTTTCTAAAGACAGTTAAAAACAGCTGGTTGCATGTAGATTCCAGTGCATTTAGGTGGTTTGTTGGGGGTTTCTGGGGTGTTTTTGATTGTTGCTCTTTTTTTTTAATCTGGTTATGTTGTTTGGAAGCTGGCAGCTTGCCCAGGAAATCTCATAGTGAAAAGGGATAGTGTAATATTTTCCCTGTTTCTAAGAAGTGGGTTTTTTAATACAGTGCACATTTTCTTATCTAAGTAATTTACTGTTAATCCCAACTTCATGGGAACTGGGGTTTTTTAATAAATACTCATATTGTTTGTGATTTTAATACAATGTCAAAAGGACTTAAGGCTTTTGACCACTTACAGGGACTGCTGTGACAAAGTGATGAAGATTTATGGTATCTTCAATCTTCATTGCTATGTTAGGAGATAGAACTGTTTAGTCACTGGTTGCAGTTTCATATTCTTAAGCATGTTTTATTTTTGCTGAAGTTGATCACTTAGACTTAGCAAAGATTTAACCAGAGTGTAAAGGGTCAAAATACTACCTTTTGTTCTTCCATCTTGTTAGTGTGTAATAAATACTGCTTACCTTTTACTGAATAATTTAAAAATAGGTTACAGAAAAGATTCCTGTTAAACACCTGTATACAAAAGATATTGACATACATGAAGTGCGAGTTGGCTGGTCACTGAACACAAGTGGAATGTTGCTTGGTAAGACTTAATGTTTAATTGCTTTTGTGTTGATGGGGCTGAAGTTTTAAGGGTTTGGTTTTTTTTCTGAAGCAGGGGGAACAAGTTTAGTGACTGTAATCTGTATGTGTGAAAAGTGGTCTTAATTTGAGTCATTCTCTGGATGTGTGGTGTGAGAAATTACTAGACCAAATAAAGGCATAAAATGTTCAGATCTGTAAGGGTTAGGGCCATATTTTAGGAATTAATTCTTTCAATTATTATGTACGGATTAAAGAGAACATTGTTAAATGCTTGATAAGATAAAGGGTTTGTCTTTTTCATGTAGTGTCAAAAGTAGAAAAGGGGGAGTCGTCCTTCCCCCACTTTTAAAGGGTAGTGCATGGTATAAAGTTTAACCCATGATAACTACATTATCTTTTTTTTTCGCTTGGTGGGAAAATCCTAATTTCTAAAAATAGCTGGAAAGAAAGAAGTATAACTTCCATTACATATATGACAAATTATTATAATAATAATATTTATAACTTGTTGCTGAAACACGTGTTTGGGGGAAATATTGGTCAGTCGGTATCTTCTGATATCAGCAACAGCTTTCTACTTAAGTTACACCTGAGACCTTGTGTTTGACACTTCCTGTTAGCTTGTTCCTTGCAGCTTCATCCTCAGCTGTTGCATAGGCTGAATGTCTGCTAAACTCCCTTTAAAATGGGAGGGGTAAGTGCTCCTGGAGACTAACTTCAGAAAGCCTTTGTGTCTACGTTACAGCAGGTATACCAGTGCATAATGAGGTCTTCACAGTTTAAAATATTTGTTCATGTCTTTATCTGACAGTTCATCTTTTATTGTCAGCATAAATCTGGAACCAGCAGCCTAAAGCTTTTAAACAGGGATGAGGAAACACTGCTGTTCTATCTCAAGTGAAAGTATAGAAGAATGAGCTTGTATAGCTGTTGGGGGGTATTAGCTTGTTTTGGCATTAATAAAAATACTCTGAACAGCAGCTTATTAAGTAGCTGTAAGATGATTTATGTCTAAAAGGTTAGATGGGAAAGCCTATTTGTAATTAGTTTAAATTGTTCCTTCAGGTGAAGAAGAATTTTCTTACGGTTATTCTCTAAAAGGAATAAAGACATGCAATTGTGAGACTGAAGACTTTGGTGAGAAGTTTGATGAAAATGATGTGATTGGATGTTTTGCTGTAAGTTTTCACTTATATTTTCTTTTGAGAGAAAAGAAACAGTAAAGCAAATACATAAAATCATGGGAGCAAGACAAGTTGTTTAACATAGACAGGCAGTAAAAGCAGCAGTTATTACTAACAGTGACTGCTGGCAACGTGATTTCATATTAATGGACAAATGTCTTTATAAGCCTTTTAACAAAAAATCAGATCTTTATCAAAATGATCATTGATAGTGAGTCATTAGAAAAGGAAATTGGTTTTAGTTTCTGTATGAAATAACAGTGTTACAGAAGTTGAGTGAACATAGCCAGTAGAGTGAAGTGACAAATTAACTGTATAAAGTGAGTTAATTTTATCCAAAATAATCCTTTGTCTGAAAACAGAATTTTGATGGTGATGAAGTGGAACTCTCATATTCCAAGAATGGACAAGAGCTTGGTGTTGCATTCAAAATAAGCAAGGAAGTTCTTGATGGGCGACCACTCTTTCCACATGTTCTCTGCCATAACTGTGCGGTTGAGTTCAACTTTGGTCAGAAGGAGGAACCCTACTTCCCTGTACCTGAAGAGTACACCTTCATCCAGAAGGTCCCCCTAGAGGATAGGGTCCGAGGACCAAAGGGACCCGAGCAAAAGAAAGATTGTGAAGTAAGTTTCTGATGATGATGTCAAAACTTGTTAAAACACGTGGATGGAAATGGTTAAAGTTAAGGAGACTATTCCGCCTCACTCCTGACATTTTTGTTTGGGACCTTTAATACTTGGTGTCTTGTGACCTGTTCACTACCACTGCCTTCCCCCACGCCCAAGAAACCCACATCCCTCCTCGGTATCCAGTAGGCTTACTGGGCTAAGTTAAGTGTATTAAAGAAAATCTTTGAATTAATATCTCAAATACAGAACTTTTTGTCATAGGTGGTGATGATGATTGGCTTGCCAGGAGCTGGCAAGACTACATGGGTTACCAAACATGCAGCAGCAAATCCTGGAAAATACAACATTCTTGGGACAAATACTATTATGGACAAAATGATGGTAAGTGAAAAGACATTTTATTTCTTGATATATTGAAAACTTGCTGTAAATCCATGGTATTTGGCTGCCACGGGGTTCTTTTGTATCAAAAAAGCTGGCTACTAGTTAGCTAGTGACCATTTGTATTGAAGAAAAGACTGGCTTTGACACTTGGTGCCATGGTCTGGTTGACAAGGTGGTTTTAGTTGAACTCGGTGATCTCAAATGTCTTTCCCAACATAATAGTTATGTGTAAAGATTTTATTACCTTGCTGAGTTGCTAATTCACACATGGCAGGATTACGAGGCTTTTTTTGTGGTAAAATGTAAGAAATAGTCAGCTGTTGTTGACTATTGAATGTATTTCTACTTCCCTGTACATCACTCTTCTCGGAGCTGGAATTGGTATTGTGATGAGTATACCTTGAACTGAATGGTACCAATTCTTGTGGTGTCTTTATTTCTAAATCTTACGTTCTATGAAGGGTTGAGAATTTCAATTACGAGTTTGCAGCAGTTGTGGCCTTGAATTGAACAACCTTGAAGTGTGGTGGAAAGCATTTAGCAAAGAATGTCAGCCACGTGTATCAGGACTACACTGACTAACTGTGGGAAGTTTCTCCATAGGTTGCAGGTTTTAAGCGTCAGATGGCAGACACTGGAAAACTTAACACACTGTTGCAGAGGGCTCCACAGTGTCTTGGAAAGTTCATTGAGATTGCAGCTCGTAAGAAGCGGAATTTCATTTTGGATCAGGTAGAAGCTTCAGTGAAAAGCGGTTAAGGAAATTTGTTGTAGGCTATATTGTAGTAATTAATTGGGATTAAATTTATAATAGCAGTTGTTTCAGTTACTGACTTACTACTCATTCAGGGGACACAAAGTTGAGCTATTACTACGAATGCTTGTCTGAACTTCTCTAGATTTATGGGATGTGGGAGGAAGTGTTTTAACACATTGATACGAGCTTGTAACTTTGCATTATCCAGCATCTTTATGTCCAGTTATTTGTAAACTTCATTGCAAGCTCTTGTAGAGGTGAAGTCTATACACCATTAGTTGACTTCCTTAACTCTTACAATGACAGCTACGTGTAGTAAGTTACTGCATTTTTTTCAGACAAATGTGTCTGCAGCTGCGCAGAGGAGAAAAATGTGCCTGTTTGCAGGCTTCCAGCGCAAAGCAGTTGTTGTTTGCCCAAAAGATGAAGACTACAAGCAAAGAACACAAAAGAAGGCAGAGGTGGAGGGAAAAGATCTTCCAGAGCATGCAGTTCTCAAAATGAAAGGCATGGAACATAATCCTATACTGTGTTTTAGGATGCTGACTATCTGTTTAAAGGATTAAGTAAACGTGAAGTCTAAAAAACCACTTTATCTTAAACAGTTGTACTTTTACAAAACTGGAAGACTATTGTAACTTGGTAGGATAACACTATATTGTGTTCCCTCTGCTGCAGTCCTTAACACTACTCAGTTACGGTGATACGCTTCATGCAGATGCACAAAGCTGTCTTGGCATAAAGTGCCCTATATACGTGACATATTTGGCAGAAACTGGTGTTCTGAGTGGAGGCTTATAAAAGAAAAAAAAAAGATAGGCAGAATGTTTTTGAGGTTTGGAACAGTACTGGCAACTCCATGAAGACCTGTTTATTTCCTTTGTCACTGTTATATTTCCTAAATGCTCAGATTATGTAATTTTGTCCCTATGCTGAGGGGTTGCAGAGGGTGGGAGGAAGAATGGGGGAAAGGTGGTTAAATTGCGGCTTTGATTATAGCTGAATGTCGATGCTGAATACTCAGTGTTTTTGCAATTATAGGGAACTTCACACTGCCAGAGGTAGCAGAATGTTTTGATGAAATAATCTATGTAGAGTTGCAAAAAGAAGAAGCTCAGAAGCTTTTGGAACAGTATAAAGAAGAAAGTAAGAAAGCTCTTCCACCAGAAAAAAAACAGAACACTGGCTCAAAGAAGAACAAGAAGAGCAATAAAAATCAATTTAATAGGGGTCAGAGAGGACGTGGAGGATTCAACATGCGGGGCAACTTCAGAGGAGGAGGTGAGCCTAGAAATATACCTGTGACTTCTGAAGGTTGCTGCTGCTGCTGGGGAGAAAGGTTCTAGTACTTGCCTTGCAGTTATTATATAGTGGGAACCTTCATCTCAATTTGAGTAAGTTTAACGTTTCAGTGCATAGTTAATTGTCCAGCTTGAGAGAGAGCCTTGTCAGAGCTTGGATTGCACTGTTCATCTTTGTGTAGGAAATAAAGACCTAACAATTACTTGATGAAAGTAACTCTCCCTTGCAGTCCCTGGCAATCGTGGTGGATACAACAGGAGGGGAGGCAACATGCCTCAGCGAGGTGGCGGAGGTGGCGGTGGTGGCGGTGGCAGCAGTGGAGCAATTGGCTACCCCTATCCTCGTGGCCCTGTCTTTCCAAGCAGAGGTGGCTACTCAAACAGAGGAAACTATAACAGAGGTGGAATGCCCAACAGGGGAAACTACAACCAGGTGATGCTTTGAGGGGGGACTGACTAGTTGAACTACAGTACTTTGGATGTTGACAGCTCTGGTGCCTGTGAGAAGTCACAGACTTGGCTGTGCCTTTCAAGTTTAGTGCATATGCCCAGGGCTCTGACTGTTGTGTAACAACTGCTGATGCAGGGGGTTCATGTTAGGGCTGTACCTCTGTCCTGTTAAAAATGAAGATTGTCAGTGCATGTGTGAAGGCTGGTCTCTGGTTTGTTGTGTGTTTCTTCCCCTTCCCCAATAATAGTAACTGTTGTTTGGCCTGAGGGTCGAAGTGTATCTTTATCAAACACGTAGAGAACTTTCTGAAAATAGCTCTGTACAGAGTCTTTTTTGGTGTCTGGTATTAAACGCAACTAGTAAAGACACACTAGCCTAGATCTTACCTGATGGAATATCGGTGGAAGTATTGGAAAAACAAAACTGGGATTACTGAAGAGCCAGCAGATGGAGCCCAAGCCAGTAAACATGGCTCAGGTTTGCCTAATACTGACAAACAGGGGAAAAGCAAAATTTTATCTACTTGTATCAATGACCCTTTGTTGTACCATAACTTCTGTTGAAGTTTTGTGGGCTAGCTCATCTATTTTCAGTTGTGTGACCCATATCCTTTTGTCTGATCAGATAACATATCCTTGTGGCAACTACAGCCTTTCCTAACTAAAAATAGACAAGCTCTTGTATTTTTAGTTGTCCTGGTGCGTTTAGCAGCTGGAAATAGGGTGAGTCAAAACTGGATTAGCCAGCTTTCCAGACCAGGCAACAACAGTTTGAGCTGGTTTATTAATTCTGAGGGTCTTGCCCTATGTTTAAAAAGCAGTTGCTTAGAGGGGAGGAAGAAGGCTTTTGGTATTCTGATGTTTTTAAGGGAAGGATTTTTTGTTGGTGTGTTTTTCTGTTAACCTGGGGCTGATACTTCTATATGGTATGTGATGTTTTGGTAATTAAGATTGGTATTAGGACACTGCTAAAAAATGCATATAGACAAAGTAGTTAAAAACTGTTGTCCTCTTGCAGAACTTCAGAGGAAGGGGAAATAATCGTGGCTACAAAAACCAATCTCAGGGCTACAACCAGTGGCAGCAGGGTGTAAGTAGTCCCAGCTTTACCTTTTTACTCATTGTAAACCTGAGTTGCAAAATGCTGACTGAAACAAAGAGATGAATAGTCAAAAGTGGATAGCAAAATAGTCTAAAGCTAAGTAATACCACTATAAATAGCTTCCTGTGCAAAATTTAATCTGCCTTGATGGTCTTGATATATCAAATACCAGCTGTGGCTTAATGTTCTTAATGGTATGTAGTACTTGGCTTCACATTACTGCTGTGAAGTGAACTTTCAACTGCCTTCAGTCGTTCAGGAGCTTGCTGCTATTGGAGAGGACTTTAATCTTCTCAGGTTCCAGGGGAACTAGATGTTTGTTAAATGCTTTTTCCTCCCCCCCAAGTAAGAAACTTAACCATTATGTGATTGCAGGTTAAAACTAACTATTTATTAATCTGTTGCAGCAATTCTGGGGTCAGAAGCCATGGAGTCAGCATTATCACCAAGGATATTATTGAATACCCAAATAAATGAACTGATACATATTTCTCCAAAACCTTCACAAGAAGTCGACTGTTTTCTTTAGTAGGCTAACTTTTTAAACATTCCACAAGAGGAAGTGCCTGCGGGTTCCTTTTTTAGAAGCTTTGTGGGTTGATTTTTTCTTTTCTTTTTTTGTACATTTTTAATTGCAGTTTTAAAGTGATTCGTAAGAGAACCTCAGCATTGTGCACGAAAAGAGAATGTGTCAGTATTTCAGGGTTCTACATTTTATCTGTAAAATGTGACTTTTTTTTTACCACAACAAAAAGTAAAACGTTGCTTTGTACCTGGTGTCTTTTTATTAAAGAATTTTCTCCTTTTTCCCCATCCCCCAATTTCTAAGAAACAGTCGTGAGTCATGTCACAATATGATGAAATGTTAGCAACCAGATTCGTATGGAGGCATCTTAGTAACCCTCAAATACCATGAGATTATGTAAAGCTCCCTATTACACTCCATCCTCCCTATGGAGCTCTTGGGTGGGGAGGGGAGGAGGGGGAGGCAAAAGTTTCTGGCAATAACTAGGACTTTTTTGTAACATTTGGAACTCAATAAGATGTTGGGGGCAAAGAGGAAACCTGGGGCTAAATAGTGATGGTGGAGTGTATGTAGAAGCTCTTAAAGTTGTAAAACTCGGTTGCTTTATTTGTGGAGGCTCAAACTTGTGAAGGTACAACACCATAATTTTTTTTTCCATTTGTTCTGCATTTTGATTCTGAAAAGAAGCTGGCTTTGCCCATTTCTTATTAAACAAAACTTGTTGTAAATCCAGTTGTCTAATGGGATCTATATGAAGTTAGCTGTGTGTCTGTATAACTCTTTCCCCACAAAATACTGTATACCTAGTGTGCTTGTAGTAGTTACCTCCACCATTTTGTAAGCTAATGAAACTGTGAGTCACCCATTTTATATCCTAATTTTTAATCATGTCAATTCTCAAATGGGTGTATCTCCTTAGCCTGCTGATTCCTTTTCTCTTTAAAGAAAGTGGGTGGAGAAGTTTAACTCTAGACGTTTGTTTGCAATAAAATAAATTCATTCTACTCTTGTTTGGGATTGTCGCCATCAAGGTCTAAAATCCCGTTAATGCTATAAAGAGGAAGAGAATGTATGAAAGTGACAATGTTGGACAGTTTTAAACTCATTACTGTACATGCTGAAATACTTGTGTTTCTTTAAAAAAAACTAGTAGTTGCTCTGTTAGAGATCTATCACATGTATAATTCACAGTTTAACATGGCTATATGTATAGGGCAAAAGTCTTTGAGTTGCGCTTGCATCATGTAAATCCCCTTAACCTCTTTATTGTAAAATAGACATTAGGGAAGGAGCAGGAGAAGGATTTGGACAGGGAGTAGGACAGGAGGAAGGATTGTCACGGAGTTTAACGGCGAGCTTCAATTTGTTTTAACTGCTATTTTGTTCAGCTTTATGTTTCTGTAAAATTGTAGTGGCACTGTTAGCTGCTAACTTGCGTTCTAATGCCGTAAGACAGGGTAAAGATGTACCCATTGTAAGAGTGCACGGGGTACACACATGAGCATACGTGGCACTGCCACCATCAGGGCCCTGGCATGTGCTGGCAGTCCCCGTGGCAGTGATGGACTAGCAGAGGCTTCCTGGCAGCCTAGAGCTAGAGTCGTGTGCTGTGCTTGAAACCTTGCTCCGGTGTTAGTCAATTTCTAGTAGTCTTCAGAAGTAAAGATAAGCTTGTGTTGCTCTTCTAGCCTTTATAGCAGATGCCATTGCATATTGACATTAAACATTAACGGCACCTCCTCCTTGTTAATAGTGCTTTAAATCATCCCTTTACTTTGAATGAGAAAAATGTAAATTGTCTTAAAAGAAACACTTATTTAATGAAATTTGGGGAATTGAAACCCAAATATGTTTTGCTGAAATTGAGTTTTCTTTACACTTGCAAAAAAAAGTTTAGTGTAATTAAAGTCCATTTCCCTTCTACCCTCGTCACAAGAACTAACACTTTGTATGGAGTGCTGATCCTTTGCTTATTTTGGTACTCTATAAAATTATATAGTCTTAAACTAAAATATAAGAGCCTACACTTACTATGTGGTTGTAAAGCCTGTATTTCAATTCAAAAGTCTGGGATGTTTTGTTTCCAGTTTCTTTGCTGTATGGTGTTTAAAAAAAAAACCAACAAAACAGCCACACATGAGATGCTTCAACTCTCACACTCATAAAGGAGTATCCTGTTTCTATTAAAAATACTCCTCTCCAACAAAAGCTATTTTGGGAAGTTCAGCACTATCTGAGAAACAGAATTCAAAAATGCTTCAGCACATGCTCTACCTGGGACACGTGTAGCTCAGAGAGGGGGTGGAAAAGTCCATATATGTCCCACTCATGATTTGTCACAGTTCAGTGGAGAGCTGTATATTCAGCCTGGGCCTGCCCACACACTGTTAATTTAGCTCTGAATATTCCTAGAGAAAGGATTTATTTTGCCATGTGAGAGTGGCTTTTATAGAGAAGCAGTTGCCTATAGAATCACTAATACTAAACAACGCACATTTTGCATTTAAAAAGGACAATATGAAACTTAGCTGGTGGCTATAGAAAGGTGAGGGAGGGCACAGTTGTACATTGCCAAAACGAGAGGGCTGAGCCATCTGTCACGTTCAGTGATTTCTTGCAGTTTACAAGGGTTTGTTTACATACAGGAAAGTACTTGGACTAGAGCAGCTGAGCTGCTGGTGGCGGTGGCACAGATAGTGGCATACAACACTGGGGTTTGGGCTCATGTTTTACGGTGTTCTTAGAGTACAAACTGGGTCTGGCCTTTTCTACGTGAGATGGGGTTTCTTCATAACAGAGTACAAACCGGGATAACATGGGGCTTAGCTCTGTGTCAACAGGAGCGCGGCACATGGTGCCGCTGCAGCTGCTGGCAGCAGTGCCCGTGCTGCTGCTGGTGCTCGCCTTGCGGCCCTGTCTGATGCAGCTGCGGCCGCCCCATCCATCCTCAGCAGGCTCCGGCCGCCACGCCTTGCCCGAGGGGGCCGTGCACGCCGAGCTGCGTGTCCCGGGAGGAAGTGCCCGGTTAACAACCAACCAAACTCCAGCTGTACTTCTGCCTTTGCTAGTAACAGTCGCTAGGATACACACTGTGTACATGGAGGTGCTTGCCCGACACGGCGCGGTCTTGGCGAGGAGCGGTGTCCTGCGGGTGTCCTGCGTGAGAGGACTTTGTAAACACATTCAGCTGTGGGACATGAGGGGCAGGCTGTGGTTCTGGGGTGGCCTGTGAGATCCCTGTCCCCACAGCCGGCTCTGCTCTCGGGAGCTGGCCTTTCCTGTGTGCCGGCCTGCTTCCTCTGCGGCACCGGAGTACTCGGCACTGCTGCCACCTGTGTGCAGGAGCTCAGTGTAAATGGCTCCTGTACACGAGCTCCTTTCAGTGCCTACTGCAGGACAGCTCAGCAGCAGAGATTTTTAAGACGCTGTGCCCACTTATTCTGATAGCGCAATGAATTAAATCAGTCTTCTGGCTACATCCTGTACAGTCCAAGCCACTTGCATTGAAAGAAAAATTCTTACTCATGGTGTAAGCTACTTTTTTTTTTTTTTTTTTTTTTTTTTTGCAACACTCCAAGCACTGCTTTTAATAGAAATAGGTGATGAAGTCATATTTTAAGATTAGGAAGTTTCCTCCTTGTCCGTGTCCATGACCTTTTGAAAAACTAGGCCAGTGCTTTCTAACAGGGCAACCTCAGGCAAAGCCACAAGAAATCAAACTGAGTTGCAGAGACATTAAATACTTTGACACTTCTGCAGATGTTAGCTGCCAAGAGCTGGGCTCTTCCAAGCAAAGAAGCATGCACACACTGTATTTGTGAACTAGCAAGGGAGGAGTATGTAGAGCTGGAGACAACTTGGCCCAAAGCACTGTGGAGGATGGGGAAAGCTCCAGGCTGTCAGAAGAAGCTGCTGAGGAGCACGTGGAAACTCAGAAGAGCAGCTTTGTAACTCGGGTGTGTAACAGCCCAGCTGTGGTGAAGTTAGAGCAGCGCCTCTATCACACTGGCAGAAGCATCTCCCTCCCAGGCAAAGCCCCCATGCAGGTAGAGAGGGGAAGAGGCCTTCTCTTTAAACAGTGGCAGAGTAGTGGTTAGTTCTGTGCAGCTTCTCTGCATTGCTAGGCACCAGCCATCTCCTCAGCACAGAAGGCTTCTCCAGAGCTGGCCCTTACAGGGAACTGGCTGAAATCAGGACTTGGCCAGCAATTTCTCTGGATGTGACTCTTGCCTTAGTTTGTCTTTCTGCCAGTACTGGGAGTGGCAGGAGGATTCAGCAATGAATTGGTTGCTATGTAAACTTAGCTGCAGCTTAAAAAAGATGTTCAATGTTTGACATGTTGTCAACATCAATAGCAAAAAACAAAGGCAAGTGTAAAAACCTAGAAATACAATTACTTGTAGGTGACTTGATATGCAAGTGTTACTTTAGAGCAGGTTTTTGTTATCTCTTCTGGTTTAGTAGACAACCTTTGATCTGCAGAGTACTTTTGGTCCTAGAAGTTACTAAAAACTTTGGGTAGGACATAGAGATGGGGAAAATAAATTAGTAGGTCTCAAAGGAGGTATTTACTTGTAATATCTTTTTCTGAAAGAAGTGACACTTGGAGTTTGCTCACATTTGGGGTTTGCTGAGAAACAAGACTCAGAAAAGTTTAGCTACCAGAGTCCACATACAGCATCACATGCAGGTTGTGAGCAGCAGAGCTGTGTACCAAAGTCTGGCACCTCCAGACACTGCACACTTTGTCCTCTCTGCTGTGTGCTCCCTGCTGCTGCCAGAGCACTTGCGATGCTGTGGGGCCTCCCACCCAGCCGGGGAGTACTGCATGGGAGAGAACAATTCCTGAAGGCAAAAAGGGATGCTCTTCAAAAAGGCTGTCCTCGGCATGGCACTGGGCTTTTCCTGCCTTACAAATTATCTGTGTCTTTGTAGGCTGCAGAATAATAGAGATTTGCTTCTGGACATGGAGTCCATCCTCCTACTTGTGACAGGACTGGCACCTGTGCTCAGGTCAGCTGAGGCTTTATCTAGATGATGCTTGAAAATCTGCAAAGGGTGGAAATTACACGGTCTTTCTGGGCTGTCCAGTGCACTGCCCTCAGAGTAAACCAGGCCTGTCCTCCTGCCTGGCCTGGAGCCCTCAAAATGGAGTTTGTGGCCATTGCCCTGCCCCATCTCCTGCAGCTATAAGAAGATGTTTGCCTCCATCTTTGTAACTGTCCTGCAGATAATACTTGGCTCTTATTAGTTCACCCCACAGACTATATCCAGCTCCTTCCACTGTCTCTCCAGAGGGCAGGCCTTGAGCTCCGTGGACACTTTAGGAGCCCATCACTGGAGTCTCTACAGTTTTTCTACATTGTTGTTGAGCAAGCCCAAAGCTGGGCAGCAATATTAGATGCACTGCTCTGCACTGGTAGATCCCTGCATCCTTACATTCACTGACCACATATTTTGTGATGGATCCCAGACTGCAGGCTCCAGTCTTTTTGCAGACAGAACACTCTCCTGGCCCACATTCAACTTGGCAGCCACTGTAAGTCCCATCCTCTTCAGCAGGGCTGTGATTCAGCTAACTGCTTCCCAGGCTATAGCGGACACTCCATTAGGCAAGCAGCTGCCCTATGAAACAACAACAACAACAACAACAACAATAATCTAATCTATTGTTAAATAGTGAGACAAGCGCCTCAAAAAGAAACATTATTTGTAAATTACTTGTACAAATTAAATGTCTTGTGTGTTCACCCTATTTATTCTGAGAGACCTTGGAGAAAGCAGCTGTGATAGTTCAGTAAGAACTACTTCAATACTTAAGTATCAGTGAACACAACATTTAAATGTCACAATCTGGGTATTTGGATTCCAGACCTAGGACAGTCTATCAATCACACCTTTTGCATGAATTTGCCTGCCCCTTTGTTACAAGGAGAAGTGTCTCCTGTGTGTAGCAGAGCCCACCAAGCATCACACCAGCTGCCAAAGCTCGAGATGACTGGCTGGTTCCCGTATGTGGCTGCAATAAGAACTGCTTCCTCCAAAGCAAAAGGAGGTGGGAGCAATCACTGTGATCCCGTGCTCCAGTCCGCAGGGCTGCACGCTGAACCCAGCCCTGCTTGGCACTGAGAAAACTCCAGTCTGCTTGGCGGTGGAGAAGGTGGTTGGATGCCGGGAGACACTTCCTGAAAATCAGCGGCTCCCGGACATTCCTGGGAGGGGGCTGCTGTTGCTGCTGCATCAGCGGCTGCGTTGGCACAGCCCCAGGATATTTATGTGCCTCCACAGCCTGGCAGCCGGCCAGTCCCTTTTTATTTTTTTCCTTTAAGGAAACACCCGCAGAAGGGAAATGAGAGACTCCAACCGTTTCTTTCAGCAACAATGAAGAAAAGTTTTCAGGAATGATCTTGCTTTTATAGGTAGTTACTGGCTTGAAAGGTCCATTATTTACCAAGTACAAGTATCCTTCTATGGTTCCAGAACAAACCAGCGAAGATTACGGTGCTGAAAGCAACTGAAGGGCTGGTGGGGGGAGGGAGGGAGTGAATGGGTTCCTCCTTGTATGCTGGCTGTATTCCAATTAGCATGGATCCCACAGGAGGCCATCAGTAGAGGGACCGTGCTGCTGCTATATCATTATCTAAACCCCTCTGAATTTTTTCCGGTTTGGTGCCGTACCAGGAGTGTGTGACTTCACACAGAACTGTGGTTTGTGGCATGTCACAGCATTCCAGAATGGTGGGGAGTGTGGCTGCACGTGTGTGTCCACACAGCCGTGTGCAGGGGCATACCTCACTCTGCTGGAACCCAGCAGCGTCTGACGGAGCAGCTTCCTGGCCAGCTGGTCACTCTGTGACCCACTTAGGTGCTCTCGAGATAAGTCTCTGGGAGAGCACGGGTGCGGGCGACAGAGATATACAGACTGACGTATGGTGTCCCCAGTAAAAGGATGAATGGTGTCAGAGAAATTTCTGAATAGAAATTAATGCTGACGGGCTTTCGGGAAGGAGAGGGCTATTGTACTTGTTAGTGGGTGTAAGAAGCCCTCTATGGTACTGGTTCAAGGGAACCTTGTGAGGTTTAGGAAGAAAAGGTTGAGCTCTTTTTATCCAGCTGGGAGTCTCAGTAAGCAGTAATGGAAGAATATGACACTGGGTTTCTATCAGAGCTAAGAAACTGAGTAAAACAAGTTCTGTCATGGCCTCCCAGTGCTGCCTCAGGACAGCCCTCAAGGGCTTTAAATACTGGATGAAAGCATCATCAGCACAGCATGTAACAATCACTAGTAGCTCCAGATTTCTTTGGGGGATCTGAATAAGGTACTTTCCTCTATATTTTGAGGAACAGGCTGTCAGATTTTTTTTTTTTTTCTCTGTATTTGCTGTGAAGGACTCCTGCAACAGCCATTTGTGGAAATGTATCAGCCCAGTAATAAACCCGTTATTGGCTTTTCATCTTCAGAGATATTGCCACTATCTCAGCCACAGCCTGAATGTTTCCTGAAAGGGAGGGGTAGTAGCTTCCCTTTAACTGCTTAAGTAACATAACTAAGCGCAATGGCAGGTGGGATGCATCTCTCATCCTGTTTCCACAGCATCTGCAGCATCTGTGTCATGTCACAGTGATGACATGGTGGAGAAAGACCTTTCACTGTGGCCACCTGGCAAAGGTAAAGGTGGTAAGAACTCTTGACCTGGATGACAGAAAGCATGAATATCAGCTAGAGCTGTAAAGCTTGTAAGTGAACTCCAAAGACCTGCCATGCATGTATATGCAGGATTGAAGACCAAGGTGTGTAATGGATAAAAGCACACTGAGCACCAGAGTTATCACAAGGCATTTGCCATCTATAGGAGAGATCTGTTGTCTAGGAAGAAAATTCACATTGGCTGTGAGCACACCTCCGGCTCTTTGTTACAGCATTTGACAAAATAAACAAGGAGTTTAAAAAATATGCAAAGCATGTGCTTCCTTCACTCCAGAGCAGGAAAAGGGGGAATCTTTGTTTCTGTTCAGTAGATCACCATTCTATACAATCTGAGCATTTCTGGAGCTTTGGCCGTCTAAACAGAAAGATCCCTGCCGTGGTAATTGTCCACTCCCATGGTACATTTTAGATACTGCCAGAGGGCTCCTGGCATGTTCAGGAGAGTTGAGGGTTTTGACGCACTCTTGCTCATGATAGATGACAGAAGCTGGCAGGATTAAAATAGCCTCAGAACAAACTGCTCTTAATCTTGAAAACAAGCAGACATAAGGATGCCATGACCTATTCCCGAAGAACAGGCAGATTCCTTGCTGGATGGCTCTCAGGCAAACTATGAACTCAAGCAGAAAAAAAAAAACAGTGTGTGAAAAAGAGGGGACCTATCCTTAGTCAGGGTGCTGTCATGATCAAAAGTCTGTGTTTTCCTCAAATCGTCATCCAAGGTTCTACCTCTCATTACCCTCCTCCTCCATCACCCTTCGAAAGTTTAGCAGCTCTATGTGCTTAATGTAATATTTTCATTTTTAATGTAAGAAAGTTATCTGTTCCAAGGCCTTGAGTCACATTAACTAAAACACAGTTCCACTTCTGATATAGAATTAGTTCTTGGTTCTTCACTTATTGGGGAAAAAAAAATCCAAGTATCATCTTCTTGAGCATCTGAGTATACTGTAAAACTTTGTTTTGATCAGTTTTCCAAGGCAAGAAAAATGTATTTGTTTCAAGAGTTAAATGGAGCAAGCAAACAACTTTCATGGGTAAGCACTGAGCTCTTGAGCTAAATGCCTGAATAGGAACAAGAGAAGTATGGGAATTAGTCTACTAAGCTGGAGAAAATATTTTGCTTGGGAGCTCATTACAGCTGAATTCACACAGTACTTCATTGTTACCTGGATTGCTTATACCAGAAATAACAAACTTACTTCCTCCAGACCCAAATAAAAAATCCTTACCAAAAGCAGGCTCAGTGACAAGATGCCTTTCCTTTGCTGCACTCAATGACTTGGGGTGGGCGGTGACACACAGAGTCTGGAAGCCTGCAAAATGCAGAGAGGGCCAACATCTCCCTAAAATTTCTGCTTGGGTAGAGGTAAATGACAAGTCTGGGATGACAGCCTGTGCTGTCACCTTCACAAAAGCTCCTAAGTTTTGAGCCTGTTGCATTTGTCAACAGCTGAAGGACATTTGCACCTGTGAGAAGCACCTAAGGCACCTGATCACACGCAGCTCTGGGAATGGGGCTGGCAATTAACCTTAGATCTTCAGATTTCAGCCTGGTGCCTCCCACAGTGACTTCCCTTCCCAAAGCACTTGGAGGACACACCTTGCACCAGTGGCCTCTGGCCACTGCTGGAGTCCCAAGTGTGCGCTCCTGCTGGGGGAGGCTGCAAATGCCTTTTCCCAGACTATCACTACTGCGGGGAACAGGAAGAGAAAGGTGCAGAGGAGCAATGGGACCACAAACCCATCTCTCTATTTTGCTGGTGGTTTAGGTTGCTTTAAGGAAGGATTTCCCTAAGTTCAGGGATAAATAAAAACTGCCTGTCAGTCACTGTTCAGTGACCAAGTAAAAGAACTGTCAGTAAAATAAACAGGGTTTTATCAACTTACAGTTTGAAGCTGCTATACTTAATTCTCTCATTTTTTATGGTTTATTCTGAGGGGGCTGAAAACCAAGTGGCTTAAAAATTACTTTTTCTTTTCCATCTGAGTAACTGTCTGGTAAGTTTTAATTTAGGCAAAGCAAAGCAAACTATCATATCTGTCATTAGCTGAAATTCTTTTACATTTCAAGTCTGATAATAAAATACAGAGGTGTGCTACGTATTTCCACCAATGACTTAAGAGTTATGAAATTAGCAGCAACAGATAAATAGGGATACAACTCACTAATTTAAAAAATACTTATGTAATTGTTTTCAAATGTCAGAATTACTAAATTAACAGAAGTTTTTGTTTTCTTGTCAATGCATCCTAATTTATGACAACTAATAGCTTTGAGATTTTTTGTTTTATGCTGTCTCTCACTCTTTAATTGGGCTAACCCATCAGTCACTTTCAATTCACTCTCCATAACTGGCACAGAAGCAGTTGGAGCCAGCACTTCGAGGAATTATGCCACACTTTTTCCCCTCCATGTTTGACCATGAGCATTCTTCCCTCTGCTGTTGCAAGCCCCCCTTTCACACCAACAGAGTCCTGCTCACTGCTTCCTTGTCTTATATCCTTGCCATGCCCTATTGGGCAAAGGCCTCGACTTTCAGTTAATTCCACAAGTTTTAGTAAACACTAAAGCTCCAATGTGCTGGCCAGGCTGCCTGCACATTGCCTCTTGCCCAGTTTTTCTGTGAACATCTGGCATGCTCATTTTACACTCTGCACAGTGAAGCAGAAGTATTAGATGGGTTATCTACACAACACAGATACATCTAGCATTTCACAGTTATTGCTAAAACTGTGGTTATGCTGCTATTGGGCTAATATCCTTAAATACAGTAACATACTAACACCAATTAACACCAGAGAGGATTTAATGCTGCAATTTTCACCAGATTTTTTTTACTTACACAGTATCATAATGCTACTTCTATTTTCTCGGCAGTCACAGCATTTGTGTTTTGAAGGATGCCATTATGCACATGCTAACTTCTCACCCATCAGCACAAAACACCCCTCACTTCTCTCTCTACAACTAACTGGTCTGCCAAAGAGTAAATATTCATCCCTGTGCTTTTGTTGCCTAAACCCCACACCTGACCTATGACCTCGCAACCAAAAGACCCCCTGCTTAGGCTGCACTTTCTTTTCTTAGGTCAGATAGGGAAGAACTCAACCATGTATTAAAACAGGAGCTTATTAAGACCAGCTTCATGGTTTGCTCATTTTCCCACTGCTGCTCAAAGGGCTTTAAGAAGCAACAGCTTCCACCCCAAAAAGAAGCAGCGTCTCACAACCCTTGGCCCCCCACCCAACACAGAACCAGGGGAAACACTTTTCTCTTCTGAATTAGTTACCAATTAACTTCTCAGTTTGGAATCTGCAGTGAGGACAGGAAGTGTTTCATTGCATTAATTCTTCTGAAGACTTTTTATATAAAATATTGAAGTCAATGTCCTCAATAAAATTTATCTTTGTTTCCTTCAGAACAAACATGAGGAATAGAGGGGCAAAAAGGAATAGGAGTATATAGGTTTGTTTTCTTCCTATAAGAAGCTAATCCACAGAGGGTAAAGTTTAATTTTCTCAGTGTAAATAGCACGTTTGTTTAGTGTTCTCAAGTATATTTCCAAATAAACAAGTGGAGCAATACTGCTGTTAACATCTGGATTTTCAAACCTCCCTGCACCAATGTGAGTTAACAACAGATCACAAACTCTCTCAGACTAAGTACAGGGTGAGGAAAAGGACTGGTTTTGCTTAGTGACATGGCTTAATGGCCTTTAGACCAAAGTGCTTACAGCATAATAGACTATAAATCATTATATGAAAAAATAAAAACATTGTGTCACTCATGCAGGCAGAAGCAAACGAGTGATATCATCACTCATCCTTTTACCAAGATGCTGTTAGACCTAACACTGTATTTCCAAATAAGATGGTTTCATTGACATTATACTGGTATTTCTTTTAACTGAAAAATCACTGTAGAACGTGCCTTTAAAGAAAACAAAGAAAGAAAAAACAAACATTGCTACTTACAAATAATGTAGATTATAATTCCACAAATAGTAGGAAAGTGTCTTAAATCGCAAGATTTTTAATGAAGTAAAAAATTATAAATTATTTAGTTACGTAGTTTAGACTGCTCTGAAGTGTGATTTTATTCACAGTTTCAAACAGAACAAAGATGGAAATCCTTCAGCTTCACAGCGTATGTATGTTATCTGGTTATTCTGCAGCTACAATCTTACAAAGGCTGCTGATTATCACTCACCTTGCACAAGCAAAGCCTTCTCCTACTGTTTAAATATTCCTGTTTTACAAACAGCACTGTTAATAATAGCACTGAAGGACACATTTACTCAACAGGTGATGGAAATATTTTCCTGTATTTAAATGAGATGTAATTACAACTCTGCTAAAACAAACCACACTCTGTTAATAATGAAAGTTAAAGCAGTCCCAAATCACTGTTGTTACTCCTCTGAGACCCTGAAGAGAACACACCAGCTCCCAGATGTTTAACAGGACGTCATTCCAAATGTGTGCAGTCACATACATACATACATTAAACAAAGCAAGGCTTGTACCGACTTAACAGATTCACTATGAATTTCCTGCTCACATTTGCCAGGAAAACCATGATTCACCAGTTTTAGACACCTCACAGGCTTGCAGTGTAGACTGACTTTTTTTTGGACCACCTTTTCCCAAAGATGTATTAAAGCACAACTCTTCCAGAGCAACCTATGAATCACTTCTTTCACTGCCAGTTTGTTTCTTTTCTGGATCAAGATAACTGCCTTCAAATAACATTCTGTTTTTCATTCCTTCTTTAAGCATTCTTTGCCGGATTCTTTGCTGGGCCAAGTTGTACCTGCAGTAAAACCTAGAGGAGGGGATGAAAAGGAAACACAATTCCCTGTTTTATATGAGTGGCAGTATCAAACCAGAGTCATTCAGGCAGCTGAAAAGTTGCAACCACATGGGATGATGCTAGTAAAATTAAGCATGCTGCCTTTGGAATTAGGACACAAGGATGGGGTATGAAAAGGAAAAAATAGTTAAGAAAAATGGAAATAAGTGGGGGATTTGATAGCTTAGGATTGAAGAAACAATAGGAAGTATTTTAAATATATATATATATAAACAAACATTCAAACACAGTGAAAGGTTTTCCTTTCAAGAAGATAAATATTTTGGGGAGAAGGAAGAGGACACTTTGCTAGGCAGGTTTTTACTGTGGTTTCAAAATCAACATGAAACACTGTTTCTGAAAACTGAAACACAGAGATCAATTCAGCCAACATAGGCCTGTCAAAATTGAAGAATCATTTTACATACCAGTATCCTAACATTGTGCAAATATAGCTACCAACTGCAACATCACAAGATCTTCTAACTCTACCTGAAAGAAAAACAAAAAATCTTCTGAAAAGTTATGTACGACTTCCCATTATTAATAACACCCAACAGCAAATAGAAGTTTTTTTTCTTGCAAATAAATATATAAAATCTAAAAGGAGTAAGTACTTACTAGTTGCTAAAAAATGTCCAAGACCCATAACTAAAGACCCCAAGGAGCCATAGAGCACTGAGTCTCGTGCACATGGGATATTTTTAACATCGAGAAATCCCAGGAGTTTAAAGGACTGTAAGACAAAACAAAACAAAAAACCCATAAATTAAAAAAATCACTTCTGTAGAAGTCTATGATGCCAACTCAACTGTAAAACTGACTTGTTATCTTAACAGTCAAGCATAACCAGTTGAGAACTTACTGCGTCCAGGGTTATAGATGATCAAAAGTGAACAGATATATTAGGGATGTTTTTGGAAGAGTTAACTATTAATTTATATAATATAGTTTTGCACAAAACTGTTGATCCATCCTTTCCACTGAATAGTAAAAATTAACTACTTCAGTCTTTACATTCCCCCAAAAAAGGAAGGTATAAGACCCTTAAGAATCCAGGATTTTTATTACATTACAACAAACAAGGAAGGTTACAATCAAGTATGCAGTTAGTCATGCCATGTAATTTTAGTACCTGAAGCAAGTAAATGTGCTTGAAAAAATTTAAGTTACTGGAGAATGAGCATGTAGTAGAGAACCTTATACTGAATAAGAACATTTATAAACGACTAATTTATGTCCTGTGGTATACCCTGTGTCTAGGCAGGGGCTGGGCACATGGGTGAGGGTCAAGGGGCCGCCCCTCAATAACACCTTGCACCTAAGCACACTGTTCTGCTGTCAATCCTTTGGTCAGGGGCAGTGCGAGAACACGTTTCAGTCTATTGTGCTTTAATCATTAGAGCATGAAGAATCACGTGTGCAACTGTACCGAAATTCATCAAAGGTGATAGTTTTATTTTCTTGTGAAGGTATTCCAATTGGTCAAAGCAGATTTTTAAGATGGAGTACTACAGGACTGAACTGCTTGTGGAGGGGTGACAACTCTGTGAGAAGTCCTTGTGTCACTGTGGTGATGGGGATGGCACGCATGGAAATCCTGGAAATCCCGAGCGTTAGTTTTATCCACGCTCCCTAGGGACAGCCATCAGCTGTGCCTGCGGACAAGCGGGACAGAAGGAATGCGGTTTATGTTGGTCGAACCTCCTAATGAGTAATTTCAAGTGCTCTCACATGGAAAAAGTCACTTGATATGTTGCTGTTGTTGGCTAAGAAGGTATCCCTGCTACATCCATGCAGCGTGATGCATTCTTTTAAAATAGGGTCTCACCTGTTGCCGGGCTGGGCATCATTTGTTATATCTCTGACCACCGGCCTCACGAACCCTCCAGTCTCACCGCGGTGTTTCGCCCACCGAAAGACCCGCGGAGGGAACACAACCAAAACCTCGCTCCACCCGCCCGGCCCTGCAGAGCCTCAGTTCTGCCCGAGGTTTCCGTGTATTGTTCCCCAGTTATTTCCTGGGGCGGCGGGGGACGGTCACTGCTGCTCTGCAATGACCTCCCGCGTCCCAGCGCGGAGCTGCGCCTGCCGCGCGGCTCCTCCTCACGATCACGATCATTCTCCTCATCATCCTCCTCCTCCTCCTCGCCCCTCGCCGCGCCCCCGCCCTCCATTACCTTCTCCGGCTCAGAGTCGCCCTCGCCCGCCATGCCGCGGCAGCGCCTCCCCGCCCGCACCAGCGAGCCGGGGCTGCGCCCGCGTACAGAGCGGCGCCGAGGGGAGGCCGCTCCGCCCGCCCCGTCTCTATGGCGCCCGCGGAAGGGGCGGGGGCGGGCGCGCCGCCGCCATTTTAGGTCCCGGCCGAGCGCGATTCCAGCGCGAATCCTTTGTTCGGCGAAATGGGTCACGGCGCGGGGGGCGCGCGCGCGGGCACGCGGCCGGGGGGGCGGGGCGCCGGCGCGCGCCCGGGCCGGGCGGGGCTGAGGGCGGCCCCGGGAACCCATTGCGCGGGCTCCGGGAACTAAAATGGTCCCTAAAATAACGAGGAAAAGATGACTTGTGCAGCCTGGCGAAAAGTCCCCGTGTGGCAGCGAGAATCAGGAGGTGGAGGAGGAATTTGCTCTGGAAAACGGCCTCCTGTGAGGCCGTGCGGAGCAGCACCAGGCACAGCCCCAGCAGGTTCAGCTGGGGTAAGTCTGTGCTAAACCACTTGGACATGCTGGAAATTACCCCTTAGGTGTGTTACTGTACCTGCAGTAAGGATGAGAAAAGGTAAATAGTGCCAAGTGACTTAGGACAGAGGTGCAGTTCTCCCTGATACCATAAAAATATATTTTGCTGCAAGAAGACATTACTCTCCCCGCTAAGTAGTGAATTACAGGGCAGGTTCAATTTAGGACCTTTTCTACCTAAGCAATGAAGTATAACAAGGATGAGAGATGTATAATATTGCTCTTTGATCTAAAAATAGTGTGTCCTGACTGAGGAGGCATGAGATATCTTCAGACCTTGTTAAATATTATTATGTGTTTGGGTTTTTTTTTAATCCTATGTTAAATAAAATGGGCTTTTTCACACAGTGAAATTTATGTCCATTTGGATTTTCTGTTACTACTTTTTTTCTTTCCTGTATTTGTCGGATTTTGGAAACAATGTACACAACTAATGTGCACGTTTAGCTGAAGAAAGTGCTGAAAAGTGCTATTGCACATTTGCATGAGCTATTTTAAATTTCCCATGGATTAGAAACAAATCTCAATCCTTCCCAACAGTCCCAATCTATCACTGTTTTGTCATCTTCATAGACATTGCAGGCAGAGCTCTGAACACACTGATTCAACACTTGGTATCCATTTTTAAAAGATCAGTAGGAGTCACTTGAATTGTGAGTAGTTTGCCTTTTAAAAAATAATGTATATTATGTATGTAATGATGCAAACATAGGACATTTGCTATATGATGCAAAAACCAAAATTATTGACATAATCTGCCCTTGGAAAAGTTTGTAATGTCCAGTTTTATTTTAGTTGGTTTAAAAATTAAGCAGTGACAAATACTGAGGAATGTAGGAAGAAATCCCAAGAGAATGCTGAAGTCTGAAATTAACAAGAGCACAGTGGTGAAAGAGACGCTGCTTTTGCTGCTAATGAGGTGGCCTGGTCTGCAGCAGCTCATATTTTGAAGGAAAGAATAGAAGGATATTTTTGCTTTAAAAGAATTAAGATGGTGGAGAGCGAAGTATACAAATAGAGCCTCTTCTGTCTAATAGTCAAGAATAGGCTAAGGAGAAGTACATAGTTTTCCCTATGTGTCATTTATCCTTTTCCCAAATACCCAGATCATACAAATTACACTGCAATAAAAAATACCATTCTAATTTTTCCCCCATCTCCTTGGTACTTGGTCATTACTCTGCTTAACTGCTGCACTTCACAGCTTGTCCTTCAGAAGCTGCTCCAAAATAAATTACTATTACCCTTTGTTGATTTAGGACGGGGGTGCTAGTTGGTGCTTCAGATGAGTGAAGCTGCTGGAGCTGGAGCCTGCTTAGCTTAAGAGAAGAGGAACACTAGGGATGGCCTGAAGCTTTCCCTCGTGTCCCATAGGGACCTGAGATGCCATGTGTGCAGAGGGCATGAGGTGATGTCCTCCAGCACTTGAGAAGGGCAGGGCTCTTGAAGTGTACTTCAAGGGCCTCGTACTTGTGCTGCTTTTACCCTTGTATGCTCTGAGGGCTCTGGGAATAGGGTCTTCTTTTGCACATCCTGGGTTCAAATAAAAATGAGGGTAGCTACTTTTAGCTCACTGAAATGCAGGTTTTAGCCTGTAAGTTGATCAAGGAGGTTGAGACTCTGTGAGCATGTGGTACTTTATAAGGGTGATGACACAGGGAATGTGAGAGCTGCTGGAATATGCCCACTGTCTTGCCAATGTGACTTTCTGCAAGAACTGACTGACTTTTATTTAAGCTCTTGGTATACTTGGCCCAGCAGAGGCACATCCCAGAGCATCTTCTGCTGTATTCTGCCAGTGTGCATATAGGGAAGGTGGTACAGCAAAAGCCCCTGTGTGCATGCCTCTCTCCATTAGCAGGGACACTGTGCTGTTTCTGGAAGCCAGGCATCTTGTATATGCAAGTTTGGAATTGCTGCCTTGAATTTCTGACCCTAAAGGACACAACTGATATATCTGAGCATTCTTGTTTCCTTAATGACATTGACTGGAGCTGGAGACCCTTGACAGACCTGCCTATGCATGGTCAGTTCTGTCCATCATAATGTGCTGATTGCCACTTGCTCTCAGCTGTTTGAACTTTTCCTATATTTATTCAGGTCTTATTTTTATTAGCACGCATCAATAAAGTGTATCATCCTTAGCTGTATGCTTCTCCATCCTGAAATTGGCAGCTGGTCAGTGGTTTGGGCTGGTCTTTGACAGCATCTTAGATTCTGTCACCCTTCACCTCTGTGTTTAAAGGTTGGGCCAGGCAAAACTCTTGCAGTCCAGGAGCAGGAAAGAGGCCACCATGTATGAAATTTATTTAGAAATAAGCTGTTTAAATAGCACAACAATAGGACATGAAGCAGCAGACAGAGAGTGCTCACATCACAACAGTACAGACAGGAACCTCGCTCACTGACTTCTCCACTGCTTATTCCTTAATCAGAAGACTTCGCTGAGGGGTTTGATCCCTACATACACAGGTCTTGTCACTTCTGACACAATTTTGGGCTGTACTTCCTAGAAGGAGGAAACCATCACACAAGGGTGGAATTTCCTGCCTTTAGCACCTCTTGGCCATGTAAGTTATTCCTACACTATAGGGTGTTTATACTATACTATAGGTTGATGGCCACCATGGACAGATAACTAAACTTTCTGGTGAATTCAGCATCTCCCGAGGGCTGCATGCTCTGCCCAGGGCGTTTGCAAAGGCTCTCCTGGTCTGTCTGTAACAGGTTGTTACTGGCAAGCAGAGGCTGCTCTGCTTGTTCATATACATAGATACCAGCTTAAACTGTTCTAAGGTGGGCTGCTGACACCAGAGGTGGTCCAGGCCTTCCTCCTCTTTGCTGCCTGCAATCCTGCCTTCTCTGTATCACCAGCTGAGCCACCTGATGCAGCTGGAAGTTAGCATTACACATAAAGCTGCTTCCTGCCCATGATGTGGGGACAAACAGGCTGTTTTTTTCAGAGCAGTGCTGATTTACATCGAGTGCCTCAAGAAGTTGCTTTGTTGAAGACGTTTGGAAGGTAGCAGGCCCAGGCCATTGGGTTCCTGGGCTAGTAGCTGAATCATGCCTTAAGGCAAATTTTGGAGATGTCCAGTGGGGCTTTGTCTTCATGGTTACCCTGGAGCTACTTAAATAGCAGTGAAGCATTTGCTTGTGGCAATCATGTGCCATTTTGTAAGCCATGAAAGCAGGAGGTACTTAGAGTTGCCAAAGTCACCAAGTGGGTGATTATTCCACTCATGTCCTCAGTTGCCTTGAGGGTGTTTGTTCTTCCAGAGAAGAACATTATGTTACTGAATGCAAGTGTGTAGGAATAATGTGTTCTGGAGTTAGGTATTTCTGAGCTGCACTTGCAGCCCCAAAAGCCAACTATATCCTGGACTGCATCAAAAGAAGAGTGGCCAGTAGATTGAATTCTAATCTACTCTGCTCTCATGACAACCCAGCTGCAGTGCTGCACCCAGCTCTGGGGTCCTCAGCACAGGAAAGGCATGGATCTATTGGAGTGAGCCTAAATGAGGGCCACAAAGATGCTCAGAAGGCTGAAGCACCTCTACGGAGACACCCTGAGTGAGCTGGGGTTTTCAGCCTGAAGAAGAAGAGGCTGTGGGTATCTTACAGCAGCCTTCCAGTACCTAAAGGGAGCCTGCAAGAGAGCTGGAGGGGAACCTTCTGGCAGGACCTGTTGTGACAGGACAAGGACTGATGATTTTAAACTGAATGAGGGTAGATTTAGATTGGATATTAGGAAGAAATTGTTCTCTATGAGAGTGGTGAGGCACTGGAACAAATTGCCCAGAGAGGTGGTGGATACCCCATCCCTGAAAACATTCAAGGTCCGACTGGATGGGGCTCTAAGCAACCTGGTCTAACTGAAGATGCCCCTGCTCATTGCAGGGGCGTTTGATTAGATGATCTTTAGTAGTCCCTTCCATCCCAAGGTACTCTATGATTCTGTGATTTTATGATGTTTTTTTTGGGGTAAATGGTTTTTATGATGGCTGCACAGATACTGTGCTGTAGGTTATGTCAAAGTAACCCTTGTGGGGTCAGGCCAGGCACGAGTGTGTGCAGGCTGCTTGTTGCCAAGGCAGTCAGCAACCATGTTCGTGCAATTGAATTTTAATGAAACCCTTTTTCCCCCCCAAGCATTAATGTTCATGCAAATTAACTTTCAGCTGCATGACAGTTTTATTCTGGGTTAGCTTTGCTGATTGTTTCTGTAGGTTGACTTCGTCTAAACTTATTTCTAACTGCTGGTACAAATGATCTTTTCATCTGCAGCACATAAGAGATTTTAATTCAATGGACTCCTCTGAAAGCCAAGGAAATAAGGGAAGGCTTCTAATAGCTTTTTTCCTCCTAGATCTTTTAATCTCTTTATGTTATTTAGGCACTTGATTGAAAAAGAAGAGGATTTTATATTAAAAAAGGCAGCTTATATAAAACATAAGGGTTATAATTGCAGCTATACTATTGGATATAGAGCTAGATTTAAAATTTCCTGACTCACTAGTATAAATTGGACTAAAGGATGCTTCTG